ATTGTAAAATCCAGAGAACAACGTTTTATCACGTGCTTTCCTTATCATCCTATGATTTGTCAAATGTGAGATACAGCAATAGGAATAATATGATACTGAAATTGACACCTTTGACTAGGATTGGCTAAAAGTTTTACAACTGAAGTTTAACACACCCAGATGCAGTTTTATAAAGAAAACAGACTAGAAAGAGGTTTAGATACCAACCATAGATGGCAGGACCAGTGCTGAAGTGAAAGGAAACATCTTTAAAAAAATTTTCTTCTTAGAGGGCACTTATTTACAGTACAATAATTGAATGTTATGCTACTATTTACAAAAATAAAATCTGAAATCCAATAAAAGATAAGTTCTCTATCATTTTTTCAATTCACAAATGATTTTGCCCTCACAATAAAACAAAATGGCCATGGCAAGTAACGGGTTAACCAGGGTGCAAAATTCTACTCGGCTTCCCATCATGGATGGAACTTTGTCAGTGCAGACAGCCAAGCAATTCGTCCATTCTAGGGCATGGTTCTTGAAGAAACTGTCAACCAGTTTGAAGATGTCTTCCCCCGTTCTCGTGGATGACAATGAATTGCAGAAGAGGAATTCTTCAATGAAGTCTTCTTTTCCCTTGTACCCTACAAAAACCAAGAGCTGAGGATCATCTTAAATATTAACAGATTCATCTATTTGGAGGGAAACTTCCCTCCTTTTTTTAGAGTTATTAGAACTTGACCTAAAATATCCTCAGAGATGAGATCAATTCGTTGTTTGATACTGTTGTTGGAAAGTGGTACCATTTCAAGTTTTTTCATCACTTCCTCTCCACAAACAGTCTTTGCCATTGTGATGGCAGCTGGCTTCACAATGTTGAGAGGCTTCTTGCATTGTGCTATTTTCCAAGCCACCTCAAAAAAGGCTAATGTGGCTTTCTCCAAAGAAAAAATAGAAGACTTTGAGGGCATATCAAGTCTAATTCATTTGACATCATCCTCTTTATCTCTACAAAAGCTCATTGGTTTGTTAACCAGATTTGGTCAAATGCCACTTTAGTATGTTTTCATTGAAAGACGAGTTCGCTAAGACTTCCAAGCACTTCACACACTAAGCACGAGATAAGCTCAATCATTCCTTGAGCTCAGTGAAGCCAAACTTCAAAAATTCTGGCTTGTAAGTGTAATGATACAAACCAGCCATTTTTCAAAATGAAAGATCTGAAATATTGAAACCAAAATTAGTGTTGTAAAATGACAGTAAATAATAAATTACCACACTTCAGAATTTGTTGTATTTTTTCCAGCCACTCTGAATGACATACAATAATCAGCAAATGCATTGTTACAAAATTGAGGAATGATAAGAATCATGAATGTAGTTGTTATTGTAATACATAAAAAAGAATGTTAATTACAAACTAAATTTATATACAAATTTTTCTGAACAACAATAAAACAGTAATTTCTATTGATGCAAATAAATTTTATAAAATATATTGCTATATTTCCTTTAAACACAAAGTAGGACCAAAACTAAAACAAAAATAATGAAGTAATCAGATTAGTAATAATTAATTAATTAGTAAGTGTACTTGTGGAACGTTAGTATTTTGTCATTTTCGGGTGAAAGCCTTCACCTTCCGTGTGTGATAATGTTGCCAGCGGTGCTAAAAGCCCATCCAGTGTCTACATTGGTTGGAGGTAAGGAGAGATAATGCCTTGCTATCCTGGCCATTGTGGGAAATTGAGCTTCATTTGACTTCCAAAAATGAAAGTAAATGCAGAAACAGTCATGTTGACATGTTTTAGAATCATTATTCTGATTAATGCCTAGCTCCAACTTCTCAAACCCTAACCCCTATTGTTCTCAAAACCCCCACCTTCCCCAGAAATCCACTTCTTAAGCCATGCCTGTTATTAACCTCTATTGTTCTCTGAATACCCAACTTTCAGTGGGCGGTCAGTCTTTGTTGCTTGGAACATGTTTTTTTTAACTAAACCAATTATTGACTGTAACTTTCAGTACTGCGTAAGTTGCCACAAAGATTAGGGCTTAAATGCCATTTTCAATTACCCAGATTCGGGTGTTTTTAACTTTGACACTCGGCCGGAGCCGTGTATTACCGGGTAGTCCAATAACCGGCTGGGTACCTGTGCATCCCTACTTATAATAAATTGTTTATTTCCATGGGAAAGTTAATGCCTAGCTTGGATTAATTTGTAACGGCTCTTGCCCCCATAGATAGAAAACCAGAAAAATTTATATTGAGATTGTGTATACTTTCTATGTGCATACTAACAATGATTTTAGCCATCAAGCTTGATCATTTTGGGATTTCGCGACCCATCAGAAAGCCATTGTGACCCGAATTTGGGTCATGATCTTGGGTTAGGGAACTGCTGTTCTAGCTAATGCTTTTTTATCATTTGAATGCCTCAAGCCTCAACAGTCATGTTGCGTATAATCATGATTAACTACTCTGAAGAGCCATTGCTCATTTTATAACCCACACATATTTCTTTTGCGTATATAGTTTTGTAGCTACAGTTCCACTCAAAGTTAAAGCTATCTTAATCACTTAGGAAATGTATAGCTAAACAGTTCTAAGCACTTAGATATTATGAGTTGGAAGGAGTTATTAGTTAGCAGTTGGAAAAGTGTTATATTTTACTTTTTCATGCTTTAGAATATATCTTTATTCTAGTATGGATTCTTATGGAGGTGTTCTGCATTTCATTGACATTCTTGTGAACATTATGTCAATTAGTTATAAACTTGCCACAGTGGCTTTTTTAAAGAACTATTATCTGCTTGGCTATGCTTCCTTGGGCATGTTTTATACCCAAGTGAATGGAGTTATTCAGAGGTTTGTTCAAATTAGCATGAGTTAGATGTTAATCTCCCATTAAGTATTTAAAATGGAAATGGTCACTGTTTTAGGTAATATAGGGCTGTAAGATAGGGTTGTCACAGAGCATTAAAAATCTTAAAATTGGATTTTGTACTTTAAGGTATTGAAAATTCTTAAATATGTTGGTGAAGACCTTAAAAAGTATTAAATCACTCACAGGCCAAAACTAACTGTTCAAACTCTCAGTAGACATAAATATTTGATATTATTAATAATATTTATCTACCAAGAGCATGAACATTCTGTTTTGGTATGTGACTCAATCACTTTGATGAAGTGCAACTGCTCTTGTAAAAGCAGGAAGATTTTTCTACTATCATGGTATTTATTGTAAGTGCATTTAAAAGTGAATAAATACCTTATAAAAGGTATTTGGAAAATTTCTTATTATTAATATTTCCATTATTTTTTATCAATTTGCTGTGAAAATATGTTTTTAAGTTTTTTAAGGTTTGATCTTAAAAGTTCTTAAATTTGGTCAGTTGGCAGTTGCAGGAACCATAAAGGATACTGTACTAGGATTTTTGCCATATTTTAGAGTAATGTGAATAGTGGAAGGCTTTTTTTTCTTTTCTCTAGTGTATGGACATAGAAACAAGCCAGCACCTTCTTTGTCTTTGTGAATAAAAATATTCATTATTCTTAGTTTTTACAAGTGTTCTGAAGTCTTTTCCTTTGGTGTTTGTATTTGATTGATTCCTTGGAAAATATTTCATGAGTCTACTGTTTATCTCAAACTTTGATTTCTATTGGAGATCAATGAACCTGAATACCACATTGGAATGTATGTGTAATTTTAAACTTGACATATTTTATGTCTGTTAATAAAAAGAACTAGTGTGATAAGATTAAAACTGTCAAGTAGTAATAACCTTTTGTTATTAAGCTTCCATTATGAGAACAAAAGTAAATATTCATGAAAATACTGATTACTAGTTATAAAACATATTGTGAATATAGTAACTAATCAAATTGTTTCAATCCAAGGTTATTTGCTTTTACATAAAAACATTGTATTATGCTTTTGATGTCAAACTGTAATTATTCCTTTTGCAATAAAACCTTAAAATAATTCTAAGAACTTGTTAGTGAAAGCTAATAAGCTATAATTTGTCAAACTAACTACATCTGCAATATCCAGTGCTGACAAGAGTTTTTGCCCAATAACAATGCTCATCAGGGTGACTGGGGATATGACAGACATAGTAGTGATGCAGGCACTATATATATGAACTTTCATAACTTTTAGGGTGTGAACCCGATTAAGCAAAGGAATTGTAATTATTGGCAGTTTTTACTTATATAATTTTTGAATCCGATTTTAGGGTAAAAATTAACAACATAGCATTATTTTGTTTTCATTTTATTGCTAATTTTTTTTTGTTTATATTTATTATTTCTTAATTAACCTTACCATCAGTTACAAGAACTGGTGAACTAGAAATGTAGAAATTACTAAAAATGTTTATCCTTATGCAATCATTAGCTTTTAGAAGTTCAGCAATTAGCATTAAACTATGACTGATTAACCATTATTTAAAGTTATAATGTAATTGTGTTGTGATTATTAATTAACCTCTCAGTCAGATCAGAATTATTTGTTGAATTTATGATAATTAACCTTTCAGTCTAATTATGGATGTGTTCGTATATGTTATTTATATGTTAATTTATAATTCAGTGTAGTTAAGGTTGCATATCATTTGTATATGCTGTATTAGGTCAGCCAATCAACCCTTGGTCTCGTATTTATCCTGAAGAAATGATCCAGACTGGAATATCTGCCATTGATGTGATGAACAGCATAGCTCGTGGACAAAAAATTCCAATTTTTTCAGCTGCTGGCTTACCACATAATGAAGTAATTTATTCTTGTAGTAGTTAATCTACCTACATAATGAAGTAATTAATTATTGTTGTAGTTAATCTATCTACATAATGAAGTAATTAATTCTTGTAGTAGTTAATCTATCTCATAATGAAGTAATTAATTCTTGTAGTAGTTAATCTATCTCATAATGAAGTAATTAATTCTTGTAGTAGTTAATCTACCTACATAATGAAATAATTAATTCTTGTAGTAGTTAATCTACCTACATAATGAAGTAATTTATTCTTGTAGTAGTTAATCTACCTACATAATGAAGTAATTAATTATTGTTGTAGTAGTTAATCTACCTACATAATGAAGTAATTTATTCTTGTAGTAGTTAATCTATCTACATAATGAAGTAATTAATTATTGTTGTAGTAGTTAATCTATCTACATAATGAAGTAATTAATTCTTGTAGTAGTTAATCTATCTCATAATGAAGTAATTAATTCTTGTAGTAGTTAATCTATCTCATAATGAAGTAATTAATTCTTGTAGTAGTTAATCTACCTACATAATGAAATAATTAATTCTTGTAGTAGTTAATCTACCTACATAATGAAGTAATTAATTATTGTTGTAGTAGTTAATCTATCTACATAATGAAGTAATTAATTATTGTTGTAGTAGTTAATCTATCTACATAATGAAGTAATTAATTATTGTTGTAGTTATTAGTCTCCCAAATAAACAATGCAAGATAAATTAAAATATTTTTATTATTAACATTTACAGACATCAGAGTATTAATGAATCACGTAGCATCATTACATTTTATAAATGGTTATCATAAGATTTGCAGAAAGTAATTAGACTGCTAAAACGACTTTAAAATTTTGAGGGGTTTTCCTAAAAGTAATGTTTTTTGACTCTCAATATAACTTGCAGTTGTTTCAGGAGACTTTGTCAGAATCACACAATGATTGAAAAGAGTAAATAGAAGTTCTTGAATAAATGTTTGTAATCACAGTATTTCAAACTTTTTTGTTTGTCCTTATTTTGAATTGTCTGTTTATATATTATGTAACTTTAAATGTTTCCGTTCATTTATTAATAATTTGTAGCTCACGTATTAAATAATCCACATGCGTGTATGAAACAGATTATACAGAAATGGTTTGTCACAATTTTTGGTAAAGAAACAAGGATGAGTGCCTAAGTTTTAAATCCTTTCTTCTATCACTAATGATGGCCATGGGCTGTTATGTTGCAATGTAATGTTCACTGCAGGAACCACAGGGGTCAGTGTTTTTTTTTTTCCTTCTTCTATACCTGCTTTCCAAAGCCCATCAGTCATATGTGGGGTGGGTGACGACTTATGATGGCATGTTTGAGCAACCCAAAAGCACAGTAGTCTGTGGAAGATATCTGCAAATGGTGTATAGCATAAATTCCCATTTGTACTTTTTATCTTGTGAAAGAACTAGTCTGTTAACTTGGGTGTGTGGCTGGACACCCTGTGTTGATGCAGATGTACATTACTGACAACAAATCTGTGAAAGTGTGTTGTTTTCTCGTGATATAATGGTGTCAGTTTGTTTTTCTGCAGAGTTTACTTTAGCATTTTTCTTGACTCAAAATGTTTAAATTGCCATTATTGCTGTAATCTTCAAGCACAATAAATCTTTTGGACGAGCTTTGTTTTTGCATGGTCTGTTCCATTTTTTAAAATATTGTATTGTTGGCAGGACAATAAAAAGTGTTTGGACTTTTACAAACAATTGAGTAGACATGTATGTGTTGTCCATTGTGATGACAGGTTTTAATTTCCACATGTCAGAAACCAGTCTTATAGATTTTTCAATTTGTCTTCCCTTTCGTTATTTGCCTTGGAAAAAGCTTGTGAACACAACACTTGCATTGTTTTTATAAACCTATATTCACTGATTATCTTATTAACAGTTCTAATGGAGGTTCCTGCTCTAGCTGATGGACTGTTGTGTTCATTTAATGACAAGTTGTTAAACTTTTCACTACCATTGGTGAGCAACTGGTAGTCAGTCATGGAATAGTCTGTTTTTTTTCTTTGTCTTCCACTGTTTTAGTGATATGTTTGAGCACTACAGGAGTACCTTTCTTTGAAATACTGAAACGTTTTTCCTAGCATGCTTTTATAAATGTGAATGAGGAGACCTTCCTATTAGAATGTTCTGTAATGCTTCCTGGAATAGTCAGTCTTAGGTGCAATCTACACTTGAAAGTTACCACATTTTAACTGAACTGCAATAAGAAAATCAGGGCTCTTTAATCAGTGGGTTTATCCAGGAGCAGGTTGATTGGATATTATCATTGTCACTATATGTATCATGAACAACCCTCTGTAGTAACATGTAATTGACAGTATGTATCCCACATGTGTGTAGTTTCCTTATTAATCTATTAAAGCAAGTAATATGTCTGAGGATTGTGCCTCTGTTACAAAATACAATATATATATATTTTTTTAAATACAGAGGATTGAGTACATTATATTAAAATGATTTTGAATATTCGACTCCACAGTTCATGTAACAATCACAGTTGAAATAAAGTTACAGTGGAACAGTTTGTACCAGAACTACATTTTATATTGTTTCGGTAGTGTGATGCCAACAAAAATTGACAGATTTTTGGGAAGGGGGGGTATGTAACAGACCTTTCTGACACAAAGTATTCATACTCTCAGATCATAAAGATGTGTTCAGATCAAAGGTTTAGAATTTTCAAGATGACAATACCCTTTGCCCTTAACGGGATTGGATCACAAGGGAATCAACTTGGTGCACTAGGACCATCCTGAAAGAGACCTATCATAAGTTGTATCATAGCTGTGGTAAGCAAAGTGAGTTTTCTTATAACATGAGGATCCCTGAATACAAAGATCACTAGCAAAAGGCACCCACATGTCCAAGGCAACATAATCATGAAGGATCTTCAATTTGAGAAGTGATGCAAACCATGTGTACACAAGTTACTTTCACAACATATCTAGGAAAAGAAGACTAACTGTAGAAAACTGTATGATCAGTACCTAGTTGAGGGACAATGGTAGTACGTGGTGACAAGTCTTGTGCCATTTTCTACCTGTTAATAAGTGAAACAAATTTCTAAAAGTGATATATGGCATGTTTTGAAACTTTTTTTTTAATGGAGTTATGATTATCACTAGATACTGCACCAGGGGGCAAGTTAAGGATCATGGGGAGTGTATACAAAGGTTAAGGTGAACTCTTTATCAGACTAATGTTCTGGACCCCTTTCCACATAGAAATACCAGCTTTATATGTAAATGAGGCCAACAGAGTATGGACTAAACAAGATAAGGCTTCCAGTCATATTTACCATTCATATGTTGCATACTTCAAGCTTATGAAGAATAAAACAGATATTCATATTATTCCATAAGAAAATGCACTGGTTAAGTTGTTGGATGCAATGCTTATGGATTTCAATGCAATTGGACTACTGAAATGGATACTGGGAAACTAGTGTCCTCGTACATGGGATGGATTATGGAAAGCAAACAGGAAGGAGGTGTGTGCTTTAGACATGGAATCTGTGCAGTGGAGTCTTGTAATGGAAACTACACTACATGGCTATTGTCAAGATTCATGGTTAGCAGATAGATCATGACTGGTCATGATCGTATGGAGTGTAATGACATGGTGAGACCACAAAATATATTTAATATAATATATTCAACCCTTTGTATTTCACACTTGTGTTTATATTTTGAGTAGAAACAAAATAAATATATAAAAAATGATATTGTTAAGTTGTTTTATGTTTTTCTAATTTTGTCTTCAACTTTCCAATTGATGTTTGTACCCAATGACACATAAGATGATCTGCTCCTGTGTAACTAACGTATGACTTTCATCCACATGCTGGTACTCAGGCTTTCTTTTTGTTCTTCAATTTATGTCTACCCTTTGCATACATCTTTTTCCTCTGCTCTGATGAAAGCAGGGCCACTCATTAAAAATCGTTTAGTTTTATAATTTTGTTTTTATTTGATGTATCAGTCAGTACCAACATTGTTGATCTTGTATGCTTTTTGCTGTCATGAAATGTGTAGTGATATAATTTTTCTGGTCTTGATTTTATGAATTCATTGGAGTCCTCTTTGTTAGTATTGTGTGATCTTTATCATCAAGCAAGAAATGGATTTGCCAGTGCCTGAAAATATCTTTGCCTACTTTGTATTTTGGTTTTATTTACTTATCATGGACAAACCAGTACCTGTTAACTATGTCCACACATTGCTTGTATGTGTGTAGTTTCTCATTTTATCAACTAATACTCCGAAAGTAAGTTAATTTGTTTACGTCTCTTATTATTATTATAAACTGTGTTTGTTATTAACACACTATTTTTTTCAGTGTAAGAACAATCAGTATTTACACAAAGTGTGTAATTTAGTAATCTTTCTAGTCGTAACATAATTATGTTTTACTTTCAGATTGCAGCCCAGATTTGTCGTCAAGGAGGGTTGGTTAAAGTTCCAGGCAAAAGTGTTCTTGATGACCATCATGATAACTTTGCTATTGTGTTTGCTGCTATGGGGGTAGGGACAAAGTCTTCAATTTTTTTTTTTTAGTCTACATACCCATAAGCATCAGGAAATTATTTACCTATCCAAAAGGTACCATAACTATTAGTAAGAACTGTTTTTATCAACTTAACCCTTTCTAGACCTAACAGGTGTTATATCCCCTGATTTTTTTATCATTTTCACAATAGAAATATTTATCCTAATTGCATGAAACGTAGTACAAATGTACCAAATATATCTATTTTCTGCTTGCACATTTGTGTAATTTGATTTAGTATTTCTATCATTTTTAGCATGTGAAATTTTAAAAAAAATTTTTGTGAGGCAATTTTGAAAATGCATCTAAAAGTACCTTCTTTCATTTGAGAATTTATATTTTCTTTGCTAGTCAGACACTTCCTTTTTATATATCCAGTCAATTCCAGTTTGATTGATATTCATTCACTTTATATTGCCAGTTGTAGTAGCCACGACTTCCAGCTATAGATCATAAACAATAAAAACTGACAGTGACCTAGAACCTCACCTTTCAAAATGGCATCACTGTTACCTATGTCAAGCTATGTATCATGAGTTTTGCTAACAATAGTATTGAACAAAATAGATTTATACATAATAAATATAATTTATTTTCAGCAGTTAAATTTTATTTCTGTTTTGTGTGAATATGATAAATTTAACAATAATTTTCAATAAGTAAGGTTTTAATCAGTGGAATATGCTGCCATCTAATACCATACTCAAATTATCATTGGCCTATCTGTTTTCAAAGCTAAGCTTCATTAATAATTGTACAGACCACATTCTGTGACATCATAAAAGGGTGGCAACAACTGGCTGTACCAATAGAACCACTAACAGTGGAAAAAATTCACAAGAAAGACAAGAAATGAATTTCTATATTGTCAAGGGATGATAGGTTTCTTAGGAAATATAAACCTGTACTCTGGGATGAGGAGGAAAATGTAAAAATCAATAGATGCATTGTTTACAGGCAAAACTCTCTCCAGCACAGAGATGAAAGTTGGAACATTTTTTTTTTTCGTTTTTCTTTTAATTACGTAAGTAAATGTAATATAATAAAATGTTAGTTCTCCAGTGGGACAGTGTTAAGTCAATGGATTTACAATGCTAACATCCAGGTTTCAGTTTCCCACTGTGGACACAGTAATGTGGCTATGCTCTAAAACAAAATATTAGTTGTAAAGTATTTTTTTGCTAAAAATATGAAGGTAGAAGTAGAATTATTATTTTTACTTGAAGTTTTAAATTGCTTTTGACATCTGAAAGGTGCTCTTTAGTCCTGATAAGGTTAGTGGTGTCTAGTTAAGATAATTGGTTTTCATTGTGGGTTGACTTTGCTATTAAGAATTTAGTGTGTGAGAAATACTTTAGAAAAATGTAAATATTTACTGTGTCTTTGAGAATGTTTCTAGCAAATTAGTTAAAAAATAGAACAAATTTGAAGAATCACTTTCCTAAAATATAATATACATTTGATCTAAGTTTTCAGTTATTTCAATATCACACTTTTGTTTGTGTTTGTGCTTTCACTTGATTAATTATAAATCGCAGGAAATAAATATTTTAAATACCTCATGTTGGCCACATGCTTCTGTATAGTGGTTGAATTGGGATTTTGAAAGAGGCAGAAATCGCTTTTGTGATTAAATTTGGTGTGACAGTGTGAATCACAGCAATGTACAGCAGAGCACATTTTTCTTCCAATCTGAATACTTCCATGATCATCCATTCACTACTCAACTAGTTTGCTTTTTCTTAGACTAATTGTAGATTATTCTGCATTGGATGTAGAATTACTTACTGTTACTAAGAGCACCATGTGACAATATTAAAAACTCTTGTGAGGTTGTGTTAGTCACAAATATCCTGCTGAGTTTGGTTGTTAATATCTATTGTTTGCCCAATGTTCACGTATTGAGCATGTTGTGTATATTTTTCAAGTTTTAAAAAGGTATTGAGAAGCATGCAGGAAGGTATTTTTAAAGTTTCTTGCTGTGTATTATTATTGATTTTAACACTTTTTTTTTTGTCAGCCAGCTTTATTGGAAAGATATGATTGATTGATTTTTTTTGCTTTTGTGAACACTTAACTAAATGATGAAAATATTTCACATTTGTGTTAAACTCATGATTCATATCTCTGATGTAAATTTTCATGCATTACAAGTCTTACTCAAAAAAAAAGCTATAGTAAAGCTTTACACATCAGTCATGCATGTAGGTAAATAAACAATATTCTTGTACCAAATTATTAAGGCTTTCTTGACATAGCAAAACAAATTTATTCACTAGAGTTCAATTTAGAAATTAAATCTTCCACTAAAACAAAGCACAATGTCTGGATTTAGATAGCATCATTAATTGAACATTCAATTTAAAAGTTTTTAATAAAACCAACATCTTTCTAATTTGATGTTATAAACTTTTCATTTCCAAATATGAATATTCCACTGTCAGCTTGTTAAATACAATAGAATTTTGTGTATAGAGCTCATGAACACACACTCATTTTTCATAATTGAGGTTTCTGATTGTGCATTTTAAACATAAAATTCATTCAATTTTATGGGAAATTAAACAATATTTGTGTTATTTGGTTTAGAAGTTTTTACAGAGCATCATGACCTGTTAAAAGCTTTTACACCAACACTTTAATTCCTTGGGGTATTGTTTAATGTAACTGTGAACAGCTTTAGTGTACTGACCACCACTGATTTTACATCCTGTTAGTGTAAGTTATATATGTGTATAGTTAATATTAGCTATATAATAGTTCTATATTTAGTATGACATTGTTATTAGGTTACTTACATTTTGATGATTACTTCCTTTGCCATATTAATGAATATTGAAACTTTCTAATAATTCAAGCCATTTGCTAGTGTTTCTGTATTGCTTAAAGTATACCGTATTATTTGTATATTGTTACTTTCAATAACAGTATTGGTCATATTATTTATATCAAATGCCATTACTCTTTTTGATTTCATTTAGTTTATTAGAATACTTTTATTATAAAGATTGTTTTGCATTTTTAGATTAATATATGTTTTAAGACTAATCTAAGTCTCCAAACTGAAGATCATGAGATATTATTGGGATTATGGCCAACAATATCATTAACAACAAGTGTATCTAACTAATGAAACAATGTATTCTAACCTTTATTTGTAGAAATGTAAGAAGGGTGTACTTAATTAGCCATACTGATTGCCAGGTTAATTTTTAGTTTTGCTCTTAAGTACATAGATTGATTTGATCAAAGTTAATATTTCTCTATATATTTTCTTATGTTTTGATGAACAGGTGAATATGGAAACTGCTCGTTTCTTCAAACAAGATTTTGAGGAGAATGGTTCCATGGAAAATGTGTGTCTCTTCCTTAACTTAGCTAATGATCCAACGTAAGTAATGATTAAATTCAAGTAAAGCCCAGAGGAAAATGCTCCAGTTACATATTTATTTTTATTACTACAATCTTTTATCTTTATTACTGGGCCTGGTATGGCCAAGTGATTAAGGTGCTTGACTCGCAATCTGAGGGTTGCGGGTTCGAATCCCCTTCCCACTAAACATGCTTGCCCTTTCAGCCGTCGGGGTGTTATAAGTGAAAGTCAATCCCACTATTCGTTGGTAAAAAAGTAGCCCAAGAGTTGCCAGTGGGTGGTGATGACTAGCTGCCTTCCTTCTTGTCTTACACTGCTAAATTAGAGATGGCTAGTGCAGATAGCCCTCGTGCAGCTTTGTGTGAAGTTCAATATTATTTATTATTGGAATATGCTTGACTTTAGTGACTACTTCAAAGAATTCAGCAGTTTTTGGAAGCTTGAAGCAAATGACAAATATTTAACTGAACAAGTTTCTCAGTTTTACCTAACTTTAAAATACTTGAAACCATATTTATCTTTGTGGTATGCCAGTCATATCTTTTGATAAAAATACAATAAGAAGTGTTCATTGTTCTGTAACACTAAGAAAGGGCATTGCTTCTCTTGTCCATTATTGTTTTTCATTTTTAATAGCTTTTTTTATTTCTTATTTCTGGTGACCAGTGACCTCATTCATCTTACACCCTTAAAGATTGCATTGGTCAGTTTATGATACGTATTCAGTCACTTTCTTTTTTACCTTTTGTGGTCTTTGGATGCTATTGTTCACATTTAAGTAGATATTTATTAGCCCTTTAATCATTGGAACACTCTTTAACTTCCTTTGTGCACATGTCACAAAAAGTGTTAGATTTGCATTCAAAATGTAATTAAACCACTTTACTATCAATGTATTTTAATGAAACTAGTATTATACATTATAAATCAAAGTTTTATATTATCCAAGTTATTATTCTTTTGTTTCGAAAGAAGTGTCTGAAACAAACAATTAAATCTTCAGTTTTGTTGTCATGTGACATGCATTCAGTTAAAATATCTTAGCTTTGGTTTCTTCTGTTTCTATTCTTGGTATCCCAACAACAATACAGATGAGCTCCTATGCATACAAGGTTGAATTCCAATCATGAGTTTCACATTACAACTACCAACATTCCGAGAAAAATCTTATTCTCTCCCTCTGATAGAAGCCACAGTCACTTTCGAAGTTAATCTGTTGCTAAGCAACAGCCTTTTCTAGACTTAAATGGCGTGCTTATAACCAATTGAAAGAGCAAAGAAAATTCCCAGTATATTTCTCGTGTATTATCTATAATCTTGCATTATGTAACTGTTGACTACGAAGCCGTACAGTTGCCAAGGGCATTTTTGGAGATTGTTGTCCCTAGCAATTGGCTATTTTTTCTTGCCTTATACATATTAGTTTGATAGACAGTTAAATTGCATTTAGGTCTTATAATTTGCTTAATAATGTATAAGTTGTGTTTTAAAATTCATATTTGGAAGGTTTATTGATTTTTAATATTATTCTAAGCTTTGCCTCACTGAAGAAGTCTTTCCTAACATGGCTAGTGCAAACTATATCTTGCTGGAAGCTAAACAGTCTCTGCTGATGATAACATTATATCGTCTGCGGGTACCCATTAATGTGTGTCAACATAAATAATAAAAGATAAAGAATTGGAAAGGAAAATAAAACCTTAAAAATAAAACATTTGTGAAAAGGAAAGACTTGAAATAACGCATATGACTTAAAGAAGATATTTATGAATATACAACAAAGAGATAAAAGGTATGTATGTATTTAAATTTCTCAATTTGAAACATTTCTTTGGATTGTACTGATAATAGCTAGAATTAGTGATATGTTAGAGAAAATGTAAAATAAACTTTTACCTTAAAAACACTTGATATTCAGTTAGGTGGTCCTTGAGATTATGCAAGTGGAATGTGAAAACTAAGATAATAAATAGTATTTTTATACTTAATATGGAAATCACCTTGCAGGTAAACTATTCAGAATCCAAGTGCAAGTAATTACATTAAATAACGAATTTTTATCAGAAATAGTGGAAAAATTCAAAATAAAATATTTTATTTTTCTGAAACTACATACGTTTAGGAAAATTTTTGTCAAAGTTTAAAGAATTTCATTCGCTAGTTTTGTTTTTGGAACAAAATATGATGGGAGCAATATTACCTACTAGCAATCTTCATAGCTGGTAGTCATAGGGTTAAAGATTATCATTGTTCAGGTGTAAAAGTGTCTACAGTTTCCTTTTTTTGTTACATAATAATTATTGATTTCTTACCTTTTTTCTAGTCCTTTGAAATACTTTTCATTATAAAATTAATTTTGAATCCACAACAGTTTTCAATGTTTTAGTTTAGTCCAGCTTTAACCATGGACCTATTCTGAGTCTATATTCCACATCTAGCCAGGGACCTTAATTGAGTCTGTAGTCCAGCTCTAGCCCATGGACCTACTCTGAATCAATAGTCCAGCCATAGCTGTGAAAGTACTCTGGATGTGTAGTTTGGTTTTAGCTGCATGCTTAAGCTGGTTGCATAGGTTGACTCTAGACATGGAGCTAGTCTACATGTATAGTTTGGCCTGCGGTGTGGGCATATCCTGGGTCTATAGTTCAGCTCCAGCTATGCACTTAGTTGAGTCTATAGTTTGGTACCAGTTCTGGACAAAGTCTGAATCTATTTTATGATGGAAGCATTTTTTTCCTCACCCTTACATTTTTTTTCTTCTGGAGTTTGGTTATTTTCATCTTTTGAAATCTTTATCACCCATTGACACTGTTTGTTATTATTTTCTTCAATTATATTTTCATTCATATTCAGCCTTTTGTTTTTGCGGGTTTGTTAAAATTCTTACCATATTACTTTACGCTTGCTAAAATCTTTAAAATGTTCTCTTCCACGTACTTCTCTGTGCTTTTTATTCTTGTAATCAGATCCCGCAGTTGTCATTGGATTCAAGAAATCAAAACTTAACATTCACCAACAGTTTAAAGATATTAACTCATTTTTTATACTTTCCTTTGTTTAAAGATAAAATTGTATCATGTTAATTATAAACTTTATATAAAAAATAGGAGAGATCAAGCTATATATCACATATGTAAACTACTAGTTATTTGTTTGTATACAGCATTGAGAGGATCATTACACCTCGCCTGGCTTTGACCACTGCTGAATTCCTGGCCTACCAATGTGAGAAACATGTTCTGGTCATTCTTACAGATATGTCATCCTATGCAGAAGCTTTGCGAGAGGTAACTTATCAGAGTGTGTGGAATAGAGTGAAACTTTTTTCTAATTAATGTATTTTATACAAATAAAAGAAGAAAATATATATACTTATCCTCATATCTTACTATTATGACAGTTTTTAAGCCTTAACAATGGTAAATTTATGTTTCTTTTGGAGTTAAAAGTTATTTTATTTGCAGCTTTGCTTAAAATATTTCAGTCCTTATGTGTCTCATAAATAAGTATATTAAGTTATAAAAAGATGTACAAAATATGAATTTTGTGCTTTTAAAATATTTCTCACTTTTTAGTAGGGTCGTCAACAAGATATTCAGTCTTTCATTATATGCTAGCTAAACAAAGAATACGCTAACTCTGAAGATAGGTATTCTAAGAGAGAGATCCTCATCCGCCATCTTCCTTTATGTAGGTATCAGCTGCACGTGAAGAAGTACCAGGTCGTCGAGGGTTTCCTGGTTACATGTACACTGATTTAGCTACTATCTATGAAAGAGCAGGACGAGTTGAGGGAAGAAATGGATCAATCACTCAGATCCCTATTCTTACCATGCCTAATGATGGTAATGTCATTCTCATTTATTCAGTTTGTAGGTTGGAAACTTTCTTTGCATGTGCAATATCTTTTTTCCTTCTTTTGATGTTATAATATTTTAATTCGGAGACATTCAGGCTCAGCATTAGGTTTTCTATGGCTCAGGTGCAGAGACTCATAATGGACCCTTAAATCTTAGTTCAGTTTTGTAGGAAATATAAAATGGACCAATAGAACTTTTTAAAGGTCCCCTTTTTTACTGGGAATCCTGGTGCAGTGCATCCTTTACCCCTCCAAATGCCAGTACTGGAGGCATTTGGTCTGAAATTGTATTATTGAGCTATTAGGTGTATTATAAACTCAAAATGAATGCTCAAGTCAAATTAGATACATAAACTTTTTAATTAAGTAATTATAAAGTAGTCTTTATGTACATAATTATTATGGTTTGAAGACAAAATTTTTTTGGTCCAATTACACTGTTATTCTCTATATTCTTGAGGTAGTAACATCTTACAAAGTCATGTTACAAAAAAGGAATTTAATTGTAAGAATTTCTATAAAATAAAAAAAAGTTTTACAAAATTCTGCTAAAATCACATCACTGTCACTTTCTGACATTTATTATTGAATGAAGCATGGCCTGTACTTTAAATCCTTGAAGAGTTGCTATTTCTAATGTATAATTAAAAAATCCTTTGAATCAGGTAATTAGTTTTTATGATAAGCCGTCACAATTTTATGCATTGTATATTTTTGAAACTTGGTTTCAGAACTTTTTAACAGTGTTTATGGATAGTAGGAATTGACAATTAACTTGTAGCATTGCATAGTTTGTTTTGTCAAACAAAAGTTTTTAAGCATCTCATTTCTTTTTAGGCTTAGTTAACTTCTTTAACAGTAGTTGTAGGTTTAGCATCATCTATTGTTAATATTTACATTTTGCCTTCGAGTGAAAGTTGGGTTATTGGTTAAGTAGTCTGACAACATAAGCAATTTCACAAAATTGTTATGTATGCAAAATTCTTATTCCACACTAATGTTATTACTAGTCACAAAAAATGAAAAAGAAAAGGTGTGAAGGAGTTAGTCACTAATCAAAGTTGTAGGTAGAAACAGTTCACATAATTTAGTAGGTGTAAAATGATGTGACAAAAATGAAGTTTATTTGAACAATATTTATTGTATATTCTACAAGATGTAATGTGGTTGTATACTGTGTTTGGAATGATGATGTATAGATAGCATTAGACCTGTAAGATCACATAAAAACTATTCAGAACCGTCTTTTGTTTTCAGATATCACTCATCCCATACCTGATTTGACTGGTTATATTACAGAAGGTCAGATTTATGTAGATCGTCAGCTTCATAATCGTCAGGTTAGTAAAAGCTGTTTGAGGTATTTTCAAAACTTAGTTATATTACAGAAGGTCAGATTTATGTAGATCGTCAGCTTCATAATCATCAAGCTTGTAAAAGCTGTTTGAGGTATTTTCAAAACTTAGTTAAATCTCAGTGAAATTGAAATTACATAATGATGCAAATGATTTTTTTTTGTGCTAATTTTGAATACTTGATGGAAAATTGTATTTAAAATAATAACTGCAAGAACAACTGTCAACACCCAGGGGCATCAAGAGCCAGCCCAGGCTCTGGGATCAGTGACATCACCAGCCCCACCCCCTCCCCCTCTTTCATTCTATTTATTAACTTTTGCTGATTTTTCATAAAA